TAACCTCGCTGTGATCCAGTGTGATCCTGCTGTCTAACCTCGCTGTGATCGCTGTCAATAAAGTTTGTTGTGGAGGGCCGGTGCGGCGCGTGCGCGCGGGCGGCCCCCGGGCGGGATGGTGGGCTCCCTGCTCTGCTTCATCCTGGCGCCGCTGGCCCGGTTCCTCGGCCGGATTGCAGGTGAGCGAGCGGGTGGGGATTCCGGGGAGCCGGGCCCTGAGGCGGGCAGTAACCTCCCTCTCCCCCCGGCGAGGGTGCAGCGCTGGGGCGGGGGAGGGAAGAGCGCGAGACCTGACCCCGGGAGGGGCGCGGGGAGCCCCGTTACCTGGAAACAGGGGGCAGGGCGGTTGCCCCGGGCGACGCCATGGGCCGTGGGCGAAGAGGACGGAGTATGGCCTCCTGACCCCTGTGCCTCCCGTCGGACTATCCGCTAAAACAAACCCCACCCGCGTCCAGGTCTAGTCTAAACTGGAATTTTGTTCGGTGTCCTTTCGTTGTCGGAGGGTTTCACCCTTTCTCCTTCTGGCTTCAGCTTCTCTAATGGCCTCCCTCTGTAATTGGATCATGACATCTCCCCTGCCCAGATTGTGCCAGGTCCAGTGTTGGGGGCATGTCCCTAATTAACACCCCAGGGTGCAGTCTGCCTTATGCTCTTTAAGCTTGCCCGTGTGAGTGAATCATATCGGTGAGGGGCAGTTGGCTGGCACATGCTAACAGGGGAGGATGGAAACCAGCAGGAGAGCCACTGCTCAGGGATCCACAGTGGGCAGCGTTCTTGATCCAGCGGGTTGCACTCTCAAGTCCCAGTGTGGAAGATGTATCGTGGGCCAACACTTTCATGCAGCATGGATAGAGTGTCATGCTGTGGAAGTTTGAGCCTTTCAGATAAGCTGAAACCCTGTTAGCTCTCACACCTGGGCAAGGAAGAATCAGGAGAATTATCTCTTTGGGTCCTGGCCATCACATTCGAAAATCAGCACCTAAAACCAGTGGCTGTTTATTTTGTTGTGTTTATGAAGATTTCACTTTGTGTATTGTTTCTAACATCATAAAAGTGACTTTCGTTAGTGCTTTGAGATATCATGAGGTCATGGAAAGTGCTATAAAAATGCAAACCCATCTTTCAGTCTCTTGCAGGGCATGGTAGTAGCATGGATTTATGATTGGACTGATAATCTAGAGGGCTGGGCTGGTGATGTGGCAAAATTCCATCTTGGCAGTTAGAATACTGAAGTTGTTTACAAATCTGGAATGAAAAGTTAGTGTAATAGTCACTTAACTACTATACTTTTTTTTAAAAAATGTCAGGCTCACCTATATCCTTTAGAGAAGGAAATGTGATGCCCTTACCATCTTTGCTTGGAAGTGATTCCAGATGTGCAGGATTTGGTTGGCCTTAACTGTCCTTTGACATGACCTAGAAAGCTAAAATTTGTATTTTAACAAAATGGCTCACTGTAACCTTTTCAGTGCCAATCCCTGATTGCCTATGAGCATTGACTTTATTAGGAATGTCATATATTGTGAATGAATTTAAACAAAAGCACTCCTAAGCCAGTTTCAGGACAACATCATTAGAAGTATTGGTTGCTAACTTGCTAAATTCCGTAACACAGTCACGGGGTAACCATGACCCAAGGAACTGCAGCAGTTCAAGGAGTAGATTCAGCACTTTCTTTAGACAATTAGGCTGGCTATAGTTGTAATCTTGCAACATTAAATGCATTTTGTTTCATGTTTAACAAGGAGAGTTATCTTTACAGAAAGGTGACCGAAATGAATACTTACCAAACTGTGGGGCAAGAGTTAGAAGATATCTTTGCCAAAAAGACAGATTTTTAAAAAGTTTTAAAGATGTTGGGGATTAGGATTGTAAATTCCAAGGTTAGGGGTCCAGGCTGATTCAGCTTGTTCCACCAAGGATGAACTGAATGGGAGTATTCACCAGTCAATGTTTTTAAAAGCTGAAAATATGGTCTGGAGAGATTTAAGAGGGAGATCCAGTTATTTCTGTTTACCATGTCAGCATACAGGGAGGCACTGTAGGTCAGTGAGGATGCAGGTGATCCATATGATTTGTAACGGTGCGGGTGGCTGGGATTGAACATGTAAAGAGAAGTTTTGGAAGCTGCAATTGGGAACACTGGCAAAAACTCACACCCAGATGTTAGTGGCTTCGTGAGTGAGGCAAAGGCAGTGGGTGTCATGGGGAGGAGGGGTAGTAATTGAGAGGTAGTCTGGGTGGAATGGTTTGGGGTGTGGATGGTTAGTGGAGTCGAAATTCAAATACAAATTGAATGTTTTGATGGGATTTTACATGGCTTTGATTCAGTCCAAAGTGGCGGGAAAGGGATAGAACGAGTGGCAAAATGGTGGTTTTCCTCCAAGATCTGAAATGATGGTTTTGGTGCATGTCAACTTGGCACATCTTTAACATTGCTGCCTTTGAATTGGAAGCTGTGCCTTCAAGACCCAAAGAAAGCAGAGCAAGGACACTAGCTTTTTTTTCATTCATTCATTGGATGTGGGCATTACTGGTTAGTCCTGCATTTATTACCTATCCCTTGTTGGCCAGACAGCAGTTCAGAGTCAACCACATTGCTGTGGGTCTGGAGTCACATGTAGGCCAGACCAGGTAAGGATAGAAGTTTCTGTCCCTAAAGGACATTAGTGAACCAGATGGGTTTTTCCAACAATCAACAATGGATTCATGGTTATCATTAGACTCCTAATTCCAGACTTTTATTGAATTCAAATTCCAGCAACTGCCATGGTGGGATTCAAACCAGGTCCCCAGAACATTACCTGGGTCTCTGGATTGACAATACCACTAGGCCATCACCTCCCCTGTTAATCGTATCACTGGCCTGTCTGGAATGTGGATATGGGTGGGTGGAGCAAGGCCTTCTGAATGGAACACATTAAGTGATGATAAGCATAAAACTTTAAATTTGTACTAGTCTGCAGTGAGGGAATGCAGCATTGATAAAAGTGCTGTCTTTCAGGCACAGTGTGAAACTGAGACCCTATTTATTTGTTCAGATAGCCATCAGAAATGCTATTATTTGAAGCAGATCAGGCCAACCAGTAAGTTTGAGTTTTATCAGCATGCAGATTGTAGGAGGTGAAAGAGCTGAGGAGTTCCATGGCATATAGATTGGGAATTAAATGTTAGAGTAATGAGGCACTGCATTTAATCTTGAGTTTGCAGGGAAATCTTCAAACAAAGAAATAAATAATGAGGAAGGGAACTTGATTCTCTCTGTGTGTGGATTTAGTTGTAAAAGTTAGCTGATTACTGTGATGGAAGGGTGTTTTTCTAAATGGGAGCTGAATTCTGTATGCATTTTTTTTTTTCAGTGCTCATATAAATGCAGCAAGTTATTTTTGTTGCCCTTTTCTTTTTCCTGTCAGGCCCTTACATTGAGGATGAGTCTTCAGGAGAATGTTCAACAGCATCATTACTGGAAAGTGACAGACTATCTGATGGAGATTCTGCTCCACGGTTACCACTTAGCAAAGACCAGACTGCTTTGCTTCAGGATTGGCTTCGGGGAGGGCCAAGTGAACTTTCAAGAGGGGAGTCAGCAGGGGAGGCATCAGTGAGTGTTGACATGGAGAAAAAGCCCCAGGATCAACCATCAGAGAACTGGGAAGTAGAAGAGGCTAACATGGCATGGCAGCAATCGAAGAATATGCCAACATTATCCCAGCAGTCAGAACAGTGGCAGGCTGCTGCTGTAGAGGGTATCAGTCAGGACCAGAGTATTGTGGGATGGCAGTTGACTTCTACATCTGAGACTGCCACAGCCTGGCCAACATTGACAATCCAAGGACTGAAGGATGGCACTGCAGGTTGGACACCAGCACCTGCACAAAATATAGGTGGGGTTGAGCTCCCAACAGGCTGGGAGTTTCAACCTCGGCAGCGTGATTGCCAGGCTGGTGGTATTATGGGATGGCCAGCACACATGAATGACCCAGTTGGCACTACAGGGTGGCAGTTTACCCCTCTTTTGGATGTGAATGATGCAGCAGCAAATGATCTGTGGCAGTTCCAAAGTGAAGGCAATCTTGTAATGGGCACAGACCCTTATCAAGGTAAGGATGGTGAATGAGTGAATAATGGTTCTCGACCAGAGACCACTTTGATTTAATCATCAGTAAAAGTAGCCATATAAATAAGTTTGTTGTAGGATGGTGCTGCTGTTTGATAGTTTTTGGTGCAGCCATAGTCCGTTCAATGGTGAATGTTCATATCTGAACATGCCACCACTGTTGCATTTCTTTTATGCCAGCTGCTCTACTTGGATCTCACATTATAGAGTCATATAGTCATACAGACTGCCAATCTTACTGTGTCCCCTTTGCTTTTACCTGCCCTACACCAGTATAAATGATAGCAAGATCCAGTAATTGATCAAGGTCTACTGGTATTTGAAACGTACTCCCAGCACATATCTTATCCTCGAGGCATTTGAATTTGCATTCTGTCAGAGTGAGTCTTGGGCTCTAAAGCACCAATTTACTTCAATAGAATTTTTAAAAAAATGATTAATACTTAAACATGGTATGTACATGTAAATATTGCATGCTTCTTAATAGATGTGAAAACACAACCAAAATGCACCTTTTCCCCAAAGTACCCCTCAAAGTCTACTAGATTTTTGAAGCAACGCGTTCAAAACAAGCTCTGAGTCTTTACTGACAGGAGATTGAATGTAGACTACGATCTAAGTGTGAGTAGCCCAATAGAAACCTGTAATTGGAGCCCTGATGACAGAGTTATCCAAGAAAATAGTCTGCAGGATATGATGCCCCTGCTCAGGCTATCCTTGTGTTTTCACATTTGATGCAGCTGTTAAAGCATCAATAACCCTGGCTGGTTTGGTTCTTTGACCTGATGCCAGGTAACTGAGGCCAGCTTGCTTCAAGATCCTATGGATATCTGTCAGAATAAAAGATCTTAATGCACTGGGCTTCCTCTCCTACCTGTTCCAACAATGCATTAGAAAGATAGACATCAAACTGGCACTCATTTTTTTTGTATTAATCCACCTGGCAGTAGAATTAGTGATATTTTTACATTTGAATTAATATTGGCATGCTAATCTTTGTCAAAAACCATGTCTCCAGCTAACCACAATGTATATTTCTACACCTTTCAGTCATAACTCTGAAACCATAAGCACATAACTGTGTGTTAATAGTGAAAAGAATTCAAAATAATAATATGAAAGTCAAAAATACATTGTTTTCTGAGCAGTAACAACTTTGACTGTCTGTAAAAGACCTACTGCGTTTCAGTAAAGTGTGTAGGTTGATTTTAAACTTACACAGTGTAGTACCAAGTGTTTACTTAATAATCACATTCCCAGCAATACAGATATGGATATTTGACCTTAAAACATGAGTTGAATCCAAATACTATGTTTGAGCACTTGAATGATTTGCTGGTCATGATAGGAACCATAAGGTTATGTGCTAATATTATCAGTATTGTTTTTCCCTTGTGTGTGGTAAGATCATAAGACATAGAAGAAGTGTAGGCCATTCGGTCCATTGAGCCTATGCTGCCATTCAGTGAAATCATGGCTGATATGAAAATCCTCAAATCCACTTTGCTGCCTTTTTCCTCATACCCCTGATTCTCTTAAAAATTAAAAACCTGTCTATCGGAGCTTTTGTTGTACTTAATGAGCCAGACGCAAGAGTCCTCTATTCTATAGATTCGCTATTTGTGGGCAGCATGGTGGCTCAGTGGTTAGTACTGCGGCCTCAGTGCCAGGAATCCAGGTTCGATTCCAATCTTGGGTGAATGTTTGTGTGTTGTTTGCACATTCTTCCTGTGTCTGCATGGGTTTCTGCCAGGTGCTCCGGTTTCCTCCTCCAGTCCAAAGATGTGCAGGTTGGGTGGATATGGGAAATTTATCATGACCAAGTGTCCAGGGATGTGCAGGTTGTGCGGATTAACCACGGGAGATGCAGGGTTAGTAGGATAAGGTTGGGGTGGTTATTGGTTGTAGGTGGGATGTTCTTTGGAAAGGTTGGTATGGATTTGATGGGCTGAATGGCCTTCTTCCTCACTGCAGGGATTTTATACTTCCAAGAGAAGAAATTTCTCCTTAATGTGCAACCCCTTACTCTGAGATTATGCCATCTGGTTATAGACTCTCTTACAAGGGAAAACAACTTTTCTGCATCTACCCTGTCACATCCTCTGAGAATCTTGTTTATTTCAACAAGGTCTCCTCTTGTTCTCCGAATTCCAACAAGTACAGGCCCAATCTACTCAATCTCTTCTCGGTCAGAAGTCAGGCGACACCAGGTTGTAGTCCAACAGGTTTATTTGAAATCATGGTCTCACCAATATATCATGCCTTGGGGCATCCTTGGCTGCAACGTATGAGATAGACAACATTGGCCAAGTTGCATGAATATCTGCCGTACACGTGGTGGGTGGTGTTCCCATGTGTGGTAGTATTCATGTCTTGCAGCGTTTGTCAAGGCATGGTTGTGTGATGTTGTCCTAAAGGCTAGGTAGTTTACTATGAACAATGGTCTGTTCAAGGTTCAGCGGTTGTTTGAAGGCGAGAAATGGAGGCATAGGGATGATCTTGGCGAGATGCTCATTGTCATCAATTACATGTTTTAATGAGATGGTCTGTCTATACCGGTATCATTCTAGTCAACCTTCTTTGGACTGCCTCCAATGCCATTTTATCTTTCCATAGATAGGGAACCAAAACTGTTCACAATATTTCAGTATGCAAATAATATTTTTTTAATGTATTATTGAGAGGATTTGACTGTTACACAAATTCCTGAGGTACACATTTTAATTTTGAGATTGGCTTATACCAAGAATGTTGAAAACAGTGGAATTACTTTGCAGTATGAGCAGACAAATCCTTAGTACGTTCGTAACATGTCTTTAGTGGACTCCTAACTAATAGACCCATTAAATGTACAAACTTATCGTGCTCATTCATAATATTGTCAATTTTCTTTAAAATTCATTTATGGGATGTGGACATTGCTGGCAAAGCCTATAATTTTTGCCCATCCCTAATTATGTTTCAGTAGGTGATGGTAAACTGCTGCCTTGAACCCTTGCAGTCTATGTGGTGCAGGTACACCCACAGTGGTGTAGGGAGGGAATGCCCCAATCATGACCCAGTAACAGTGAAGGAACGATATGGTTTCAGGACAGGATGATGTCAGCTATGGAGGGAAACTTTAGATTGTGTTATTAGAGCCTACTTCCTTTATTCTTCTAGGTGGTAGAGTTCAGGGGTTTGCAAAGTGCTGTCAGAGGTGCCTTGGTGTATTGCTGTAGTGCATCTTGTAGATGGTACACATTGTGGCTGCTGTGCACAGAATGGTGTGCCTGTCAAACAAGTTGTTTTGTCCTGGATGATGTGGCGTGTTTGGGTATTTTTCAAGCCACACTCATCCAAGCAATTGGAGAGTATTTCGTCACACTCCTGCTTATACTTTGTAGATAGTGGTAGGCTTTGTGAATTAGAAAATGAGTTACCACAAAATTCCCAACCCCTGACCAGTGCTTTTGGCTACAATATTTATATGGTCTGCCCAGTTCAGCTTCTGGTTGATAATTGTCATTAGCTGTCCCTTGATTCAAGGATGACGTTTACAAATGGTGGGTGAGTTTCTACCATGGGTCTTCACGTCACTGAACTGGTTAATTCTCAGATTTTGGGCACATGGAACAGTACATCTCCTGAGGTAGTGGAATCCAGAGCACAGGATTTACTTTCTTTTGCTTCCTCTCTGCCTCATCATTAAGACATTGGAATTCAAGTGCGATGCAGCTTGTCAGACTATCTTTTATCACTTTGTATGATTTGCAGCAGCATGTCCCAGTCATTAATGTCAATGCTGCTATGTTTCAAGGAAACCTTTAGAGTTTACAATCTACCTGATGTTCAACTCATCAAAGATCAACAGTCTTGTGTTAAATAACATCTAGTTAGAAATCTCTTTACTTTCAGTTACCAAAACTAAACTGAAACATGATCAACTGTTTGCAATGACTTCAGTGTCATTGCTCGCTCTTCACCAGAATTGCAAGTCATTCCTTGATTTCTGCATAAGAGAAACTTGGCCTGGCCTTGAGCGTTGCCAAAGCAAAACCCTTAAAACAACCGAGAGGTAGTAAGAACTGCCGATGCTGGAGTCAGAGATAACAGTGTGGAGCTGGAGGAACACAGCAGGCCGGGCAGCATCAGATGCACAGGAAAGCTGATGTTTCGGGTCGGGAGATTTTCTGAGGAAAGGTCCTGATCCGAAACGTCAGCTTTCCTACTCCTCTGATGCTGCCTGGCCTGCTGTGTTCCACCAGCTCCACGCTGTTATCCCTTAAAACAACCGAGACTTGGTCTGTCAAATATTCCGCCTCTCAAATGTGTTGAGAAAAGAGACTCTTAAATTTGTGGAGCACTTCCCACTTGGCAGGCACCTCTCTGAAAAGGCCATGATTGGTCAATTGTAAGGAAACAAATTGCAGAGGATTCAGTGATAGTAATGTTGAAAAATAGATGGGGCTTGTTGTAAATGATCGTTGCCTAATATTTATGAGTAATGCAGGGTAAGAAAGTCTGATTCACAGCCCATGTGAATTTACAATGGAATTGTGACTGAGAGTGGGATATGTGTGGTTGACTAATGCAAAATCCCCCTCTTCAATCCCCAGTGTGATCAATTACCACCAGCCAACTGTTCACAAACAGCAGCTCACTCTTAAACACTCTCATATCTTAATTAATATTTACTTATGCAGTCTTGTTTATCTTTTCTGCCTCTAGGTCTTCTTGCCAGAGTATGGGAGGATTTACCAAGATCCCAAGTGGACGGCAAAGATGACAACAAGCCATTTGAGTTCACCATAATGTCCTACAATATTCTTTCGCAGGACCTTTTGGAGACAAATTCTGATTTGTACGCTCACTGCCAGCCTGAGTTCCTGAAGTGGGAATTCAGATTTCAGAATATTCTGCAGGAATTTGAGACCTGGGACCCTGATGTGAGTACAGTGCAAATGAACCAAAATTCTGTTAAAACTAATTAAATAAATACAGAATTTAAACAGTCGGGATGGATAATTGTAACTCAAAATACTAGATTGTTGTGCTTCCCATTGTGTTCTGTAGAAAAAAAAATTTCTCATCCCGAGTCCCTTTGTTGTTGTCGTCCCCCTCAACTGTATGATTCATGCTGTTGACTCTTAACTATCTTCTGAAGTGGTCTCACAGGCTATTGAGTTGTATTCAAGAAAGACGTCACCTTTTCACGGCAATTTGGAATGGTGTTGAAAATAGTGCAATTATCAATGAGCATCCCCATTTCAGACCTTTTATGATGAAGGGGAAATCATTGATGAAACAGCTGAAGATGACTGGGCTGACATCCTGTAGATAAATGAAATTTTTGGCCAATTGGCCTATCCACTGTTGGTTACTGTCTGCCTCACAAAAGAACGATAAGCGTTTAGACAGTGGGTTAGTGTAGGCCAATATCCTGTTGACCCTTCAATCTGCTATTGGGTGCTTTGAGATAGTAAGAACTGCAGATGCTGGAGTCAGAGGTAACACAGTGTGGAGCTAGAAGAACACAGCAGGCCAGGCAGCATCAGAGGAGCAGAAGAAGTCTCTGAAGAAGGGTCCTGACCTGAAACATCAGCTTTCCTGCTCTTCTGATGCTGCCTGGCCTGCTGTGTTCCTCCAGCTCCACATTGTGTGCTCTGATATGTTTTGACGTACAGAATCACTCATAAAATTACGGTGAAGGTTGGATACCTTCTGGGCAAGAAATGCAGAGAAAACAGTGCTGGATCTTGCTGTGGGGATTACAGGTTAAACTGTAAACTGGTTGAAAGATTTTCACTAACTTAATTCTCTTGCCTGAAGTCCCACTGGTTGGCTTGTTTTCCCCGATCAGGCATGTCAATATGCGTGCCTGCTGCTGCAGTTCCCTGCATAGAGCAGTGCATTTGACTTGGTGTTCTAACTGTTGGAAAAGAAATGAGTGTTGCAAAACATGGCTTAATGCCAGCTCTACATAAAATGAAGGTATCTTTTTGAACTGAAAGGATCCTGAATTAAATGATTGGTTAACTTCATCCAAATCCTTGGTTATGTTCATTCAAAAGGTCAAATGCCTCTCAAGTGACAGTGAATTGTCTACATAATTCAGTTATGCTATGAGACTGCCTGCTGTATGAAATATGTAACTTCTCTGCAACAGCCTTTTCTAAACTTAAATCCGTAGTTGATTTATACGCCCGATCTTAAGCACTTCAGACTAGCACTGGGGTACATTCCTGACCGTATATCTCTGGCTTTGACCTTACTGCCAGAACAGGTGGTTGTCCTTTCATTTCTGTGCAGTGGCTGTGTCCAACTAAATATCAATAAATATTTTTAAAGTGCAAACCAAGTACTAAGAGGACGTGACAGCCTGACATCTTGTGGGCCCTCTTTCAGATTCTGTGCCTGCAGGAAGTTCAGGAGAACCACTACCATCAGCAGTTTCGACCAGCTCTCCAGCTACAGGGTGAGTGTTGTAGAAACAATGAGCCATGAAGTGTCAGCATTAATTCATTTATTTTTCCTTTTGTTGTTTTCTTTTGAATTCACTGGAATGTCTCCATGTGTGAGACTCGACAATGAGTACTGAGACATAAAAATAGAAACTGTTGGAAATGCTCAGTATGCCTGATAGAATCTGCAGTGTGAGACCTACTATTCCACAGTGTGTCATCTTTGTATTAATGTAGTGAGTGCTTCGAAGCTGTTTGCTTTGGGGTACCTCACTGAAAAGTTACATGTATGCAATTTCCAGCAATGACCACTGGATGGGAACCAAGAGTAGAAATATCACCCAGGTCAATTTAGCACTCCAAACTGCTAGATAGTAAAAATCCCATGTCATGATTTGAAAGGGAGTGGAGTTTTCTTTTGGTGTTCACGCTAGCAATTTTTCCCGACCAACTTAATCACTCACGACTAAGATTGATTGACGTTTGCCAAATTAAAAATCTAAAGTGGGTAGATTGCAATTGTTGTACAGATCAGCCATTCTAGTTGAATGGCAGGATAGACCTGCAAGGGCTGAATGGCCTCCTGGTTTTCAATTCTGATAACCTAGTCATTTACACAATTGCTGCTGTTTGAATTTTTCTGGTAAATTTTAACCTCTGTACTTCATTATATTGCAACTGAAGCACTTTCAGATATAATAATGGGATAGGGCAGTAATAAGTATTTTATTATCATAACTTGTGACCTTCTGAAGTTGTGCCTGCAATAAGTCAGTGTTAGAAAAAGCTACTGAGCTGTCAATGGTGAGAGCAAAGGTCTGGATTAACAGGAAATGGGAGCTCACCTTATGATTACCAGTTGTGTATTTTAGATATTATTTTCAGGGGCATTATTTGAAATTCCCTATTCATAAATTGTCCATTTTCATTACATACTACCAAACATCACGTTCATTTGTTCAGCATAAATGCGAACTTAAAAGTTATTGTGCTCGTGATTCATGGAAAGAGTTAGTGCCACCAGTGCAGTGGAGGGCTGTTTCTTGTTACTGTCTGTAAATGGAAGAACACTGTGAATGGAACAAAAATGGAAATTTCTGGAAACACTCAGTTGGTCTGGCAGCATCTGTGCAGAGAAAGTAGAGTTAATGCTTCAGGTCCAGTGAAGAGTATTTCCAGCAATTTCCCTTTTTGGTCCACTTAGTGTCCTCTGCACAGATGCTGCCAGACCAACTGAGTTTTTCCAGCAATTTCTGTTTTGTTTTCGGATTTCCAGCATCCACAGTTCTTTATATTTTTTTAAACACTGAGTGGGTTACCCAAGTGTTAATCTTGCTGTTTTCTCTGCAGGTTATGAGTGTGTTTATAAACGACGCACTGGTATCAAGACAGATGGGTGTGCTGTGTGCTACAAAAGGGAGCGGTTCTCCCTGGTCTCCGAACACCCTGTGGAGTATTTTCGACCTATTGTGGAAACGTTGAACAGAGATAATGTAGCGCTGCTTGTTCTCCTCCGACCCCTGACCCCAGACTGTGTCCAAGGAAACTCCAAGTTTCCTGACATCTGTGTGGCAAACACTCACCTGATATTCAATCCCAGACGGGGCGATATTAAACTCACCCAGCTTGCTGTGTTATTTGCTGAAATTCAGCTACTAATACACACAGCAGGTTCTGATGGTAACCACTGTCCAATCCTTCTCTGTGGTGATCTGAACGCTGTCCCGGAATCTCCTCTGTATAAACTCATTCAAAATGGTGAGCTCTACTATTATGGAATGCCAACATGGAAGGTAAATCACATTTGGCCAATTTCCCAGATTCGTTTTTTTTAACCTGCAGCCTGTCTCCAAGAAACACCAGTAACCATTTTGAGCTGTTCTATTTCATTTTTTGGCAGGTGTCCAGTCAGGAGGACTGTTCTCACCAGATGTGTCCGAGGAAACTCTATGGTCCTTTGTGGCCAAGCAGACTTAGGATAACTGACAATTGTCAGTATGTGGATATGTGTGAAAAGAAGAGGACAGGTTAGCTGCAAATTTGCTTTTCCACTGTGCTGTTTGCTCACCTCCCCTGTGTGTTCTGAATGTTTAATCAAGAACTGAAACTTTGGCTCTCATGTACACTCTTACTTTCTACTTTCTCTGTCGCCCTCAACATACATGGTTTTACATACTTCCTGATTCTCTTCAAAGGGTCGGTATGGACTCGATGGGCCGAATGGCCCGCTTCCCCCCCCCCCCCCCCCCCAACCCTATTATTCTTACATGTATCTGAGATTTCTCTGTATATTTGCTCCTCTGTTTCCTGCTGACTACTTTGAAGGCTCCCGAATGGAACTAGAAAATCTTCCCGCCAGCGTATTGGTCCCCTTCATGTTCAGTTGAAACCTGTCCCTTTTGAACAGGTCTTTTTTGCCCCAGAAGAGATTCAAATGGTCCAAAAATTTCAATCCTAGCCCAATGCACCATCTCCTTTGCCATTGATTGATCTTCCCTATCTTCTTGTTCCTACTCTCTCTAGCACTTGGCACTGGGAATAGGGTCCTCTATATCAATATGTAGATGGGCTTGCACGGGAGGGTGCAGCACTGGACCTCCTCCTAGGGAACAAGGTCGGGCAAGTAACTGAAGTGTCAGTCAGAGAGCACTTTGCGTCCAGTGACCATAACTCTTCTAGTTTTAACATAGTTATGGAAAAAGATGACAGGTCCACAGGCTAAGCTACTAAACTAGAGCAGGGCTAATTTTGGGGCCATTAGGCAGGATCTCGCAGAGGTTGATTGGGTGAATCTGTTTGAAGTGAAAGGAATGACGAGCAACTTGGAGGCTTTTAGAAGTGTGATACCAAGAGTCCAGGGACAGTTTGTCCCTGTTAGGGCGAATGAAAAAGCTGGCATGTTTAGGGATTACTGGCTGACAAGGGATATTGAGGCTCTGGTCAGGAAAAAGAAGGTGGCATACATTGGGTTTAAGCTATAGGGCTGAAGTGAATCCCTCGATGACTATAAAATGTGTAGGAGCACACTTAAGAGGGAAATCAGAAGAGCAAGAAGAGAGTATGAAATGGATCTGGCAGATAAGGTTAAAGATCATCCCAAGAGGTTCTATAGCTATTTTAAGAGTAAAAGGGTGGCTAGGTAAAGAATAGGTCCCCTTAAAGATCAGCATGGCTGTCTATGTTTGGAGCCACAGGAGATGGGGGAGATTTTTAATAAATATTTCTCCTTAGTGTTTACTGAGGAGAGAATCATGGATGCTAAGGAAATAAGGGAAACAAGTGGTGATGTTTTGGACCAAATACACATTATCAGAGAGGAGGTGTTTGCAGACTAAAAGCACATTAAAGTGGATAAATCCCCTGGACCTGATCAAGTCCCTCCTCGGACATTGTGAGAAGCTAGGGAAGAAATTGCAGAGGCCCTAGCAGAGATTTTTGCTTCATCTGTAGCCACTGATGAAGTTCCAGAAGACTGGAGGGTGGCCAATGTTGTTCCATTGTTTAAGAAAGGTAGCAAAGACAAGCCAGGGAACTGCAGGCCAGTAAGCCTGACATCAGTGGTAGGCAAGTAATTGGAGAGGATACTAAGGTCAATCAACATTTGGATAGTCAAAGTCTGATTAGGGATAGTCAGAATGGATTTGTGAGCAGGAAGTCATATCTGACAAAGCTTTTAGAGGTTCTCAAAGAGGTAAACAAGAGGATGGATGAGGGTAGGGCAGTGGATGGTATCTAAATGGACTTTAGTAAGGCCTTTGACAAGGTCCCGCACGGCAGGCTAGTCATGAAAGGTCACATGGGATCCAGGGAGAGCTAGCTAATTGGATTCAAAATTGGCTGGATGGTAGGAAGCAGAGGGTGATGGTTGAATGTTGTTTCTCAGACTGGAGGCCTGTGACTAGCGGTGTGCCACAGGGTCAGTGCTGGGACCTTTGTTATTTGTTATTTACATAAATAATCTGGATGTGAATGTTCAAGGCATGATTAGTAAGTTTGTGGATGATACAACATTAGGAGGTATCATTGATAGCGAGGAAGGTTATCAAAAATTACAGCGAGATCTTGATCAGATGGGGAAGTGGTTTGAGGATTGGCAAATGCAATTCAATACAGATAAGTGTGTGGTGTTGCACTTTTGGAAAGTCAAACCAAGCTAAGACTTATACAGTAAATGGTAAGGTCCTGAGGAGTGTTGTGGAACAGAGGGACCTGGGAGTATAAGTACATAGTTCGTTGAAAGTGGTGTCACATGTCGACTGGGTGATGAAGAAGGTATTTAGCATGCTGGCCTTCATCGATGAGGAATTGAGTGTAGGAGTTGGGACGTTATGTTAGAGTTGTATAATTTGTTGGTGAGGCCGCACTTGGAGTATTGTGTTCAGTTTTGGTCACCCTGTTATAGGAGAGACATAGTTAAACTGAAAAGTGTGCAAAGAAAATTTACAAGGATGTTGTCAGGACTAGTCGGCCTGAGTTTATAGACAGAGGTTGACCAAGATAGGACTTTATTCCTTGGAACGTAGGAGAATGAGGGGTGACCTTATTGAGGTATATAAAAGCATAAGGGGCATAGATAGGATGAATGCATATAGTCTTTTTCCCAGGGATGCAGAATTGAAAATAGAGGGCATAGTTTTAAGGTGACAGTAAGAAAGAGCTGAGGGACAACTTTTTCGCACAGAGAGTAGTGCGTATATGGAATGGGCTGCCAGAGAAAGTGGTTGAGGCAGGTACAATAGCAACATTTAAAAAACATTTGGATAACTATACAGATGGGAAGGGTTTGGAAGGATATGGATTGAATGCGAGCAATTGGAACTAGCTGAGTGGGCGCTATTGTCAACATGGACGAGTTTGGGCTGAAGGGCCTGTTTCCATGCTGTATTACTCTGACTCTGAGTAATCAGAGATTACTACTTTTTGAGTTTCTGCTTTTTAACCTCCCACCTCACTTCCTATATTCGCTCTGCAAAGTCTCAACCCTTTCCCTAACCATGTCGTTCTTACCAGTTTGTACAACAACTTCTGGCTTCTCACTTTCCCCTTTGACAATATGCTGCAAACACTTCAGATGTCCTTGACCCTGGCACCAGAGAAGCAACATACCATCCTGAATTTCTCTCTTGTAGCTGCAGAATCTCCTTTCTGTGCCCCTGACTGGAGAGTCCTCAAAACAAATGCTCATTTGACAAACCTTGAATAACAGAAGAATCATTCTTGGTGCCCAAGATCTGGTTTCTGCTTCTTTTTTCTGAGAGACTACCACCCCCAACCCAAAAAAAAGTACCCAAAATGGCACATCTGTTTGAGAGAGGAATAGCCACAGGAGAATCCTGCAATGCCTTCATACCTCTCTTGACAGTCATCCATCTATCTAAATTAGTTTAGTTATGAGCACCAGACCCCAGGAAGATGGTGCAATAAGAATTGGCCAGTGATGTCAGGGGTGAAACAGTTTAAATTATTAGGACATGTATAAATTTGGCTTGTGTCTTCTTGAGTTTAGAGCATTGAGTGATGATCTAATCAAGGTGTTTAAAATAATAAAGGGATATATAATTAGACAACAAGAGCACAGTGTCTTAAGATGACAGTCAGGCCATTCAGAAGTGAAATCATGAATACTGCTTCATGCAAAGTGTAGGAATTCAGTTCTGATAAGCTATGGATCTCTTGAAATTTGCAAAATCTTTAATGGGTAAGGTTATCAAAGGTAAAGGCAGGTATGTGGAGTTGTAGTGTAAATTAGCTGTTTAATTGTAGAACTGACCCATTGAACTAAATGGCCACCTATTACTTTGAATTATTCTATACACTTGAGGACAAAATTGAGGCCTCATCGTGGCACTGAGCTGTTTTGGAGTATGGTATGAGATGTAAGATCAGGATAATTTGACACAAGTTCTGTTTTAAGAACATAGAACAGTACAGTACAGTGCAGGCCTTTTGGCCCACGATGTTGTGCCAACCTATTATCCTACTCTAAGATCAAACTACCCTGCATACCCTGCATTTTATTATCATCCCCGTGCCTATCCAGGAGTCGCTTAAATGTCCCTAATGTATCTGACTCCATTCCCACCGCCGGCAGCGCATTCCACGCACCCACCACTCTCTGTGTGAAGCACCTACTTCTGACATCTCCCCTATACCTTCCTCCAATCATCTTAAAATTTTGCCCCCTCGTAATAGTCATTTCCACCCTAGGAAAAATTCTCTGGGTATCCACTATCTATGCCTGTCATCATCTTGTAAACCTCTATCAAGTCACCTCTCATCCTTCTTCACTCCAAAGAAAAAAGCCCTAGCTCTCTCAACCTTTCCTCATAAGACCTGCCCTCCAGTCCAGGCAGCATCCTGGTAAATCTCCTCTGCACCCTCTCTAAAGCTTCTGCATCCACCGCCTTCCTATAATGAGGCGACCAGAACTGAACACAATATTCCAAGTGTGGTCTAACCAGGGTTTTATAGAGCTGCAGCATAACCTCACAACTCTTAAACTCAATTCCCCTGCCAATGAAAGCCAATATGCCATACGCCACCTTAACAACCCTATCAATTTGGGTGGCAACTTTGAGATGTGAACCCCAACATCCCTCCGTTCTTCCACACTGCCAAGAATCCTGCCGTTAGCCCTGTATTCTGCATTCAAATTGGGCCTTCCAAAATGAATCACTTCACACTTTTCAGGGTTGAATTCCATCTGCCACTTCTTTGCCCACTCTGCATCTTGCCACTGTCCCATTGCAACCTACAACAGCCCTCCACACTATCCACAACACCATCAACTTTCGTGTCATCAGCAAATTTACTAACCCACCTTTGCACTTCCTCATCCAAGTCCTTTATAAAGATCACAAAGAGCAGGGGCCCCAGAACAGATTCCTGCTGAACACCACTGGTCACTGAGCTCCAAGCTGAATACTTTCCATCTACGGCCACCCTCTGTCTTCTATTGGACAGCCAATTCTGTATGTAGGAGGATGCTTGAATTTGGGCTGTGATGTAATGTTACAGATTGGTTGTCTCCAAACTTTTAAATGGTATGTTCAGTATAGGTCACACTGAATAAGGTGGCATGATAGCCCAGTCGTTAGCACCGCTGCCTCACCATACCAGGGACCCGGGTTCGATTCCACCCTTGGGCAAGTTTCTGTGTGGCGTTTGCACGTTCTCCCCATGGTTGTGAGAGTTTCCTCCAGGTGCTCTGGTTTCCTCCTATACAGTCCTAAGATGCGCAGGTTTGTTGGATTGGCCATGCGAAGTTGCCCATTGTGTCCATAGGTATGTAGGTTATGGATTATGCAGAGTCACAAGCATAGGTCAGGAGAAAGGTTGATCTGGGTGGGATGTTCTTTGGAGGGTCTGTGTGGATTTGCTAGGCAGAATAGCCTGGAGAGATTCTGTGATTGTATTCTATGATTCTGTGAATTTTACAACATAACACTAAGGGCAGAGTTTTGTCTTGAGCTCATTCACACAAGATGGACTCAAGTATCAAAACAGGCCTATTTCAGAATCTTTTAAAGTAAGGATTTTTTTTCTCATGCTGTTTAATGTGTAACTTAATGTTGAGAATGTTCTGTATTTCTACATTTCACAGTAAGTACACTTTATGAAAATGCCAAGTAATAGAAATAAATGCCTACATTTAGCAAAGCGGTGCACTTTCCTGACGTCTTCACAATTATTGTTGCAATTCAATTGACACTTAACAAGTTTTGAGGAAAGGAATTGTTAATTTGTACTGCTGAGTGAAATTGTTGTAGTAGTAACCAACATGACTGCCACCATTCTGCTTTTGTTGTTTGAATTTAAGGTGTTTTCACTTCATTATTTTGATTGCCTTTGCTCTAATGGGTGGATTTAGCCTATGATCTCGCTTGCTCTGTAGCAGACTGCTAAAAGAACAAGATCAGTTTGGAAATTCTTTTTGTCGTACCTGTCATCTTGTGGGCTGTGGTCAATATCTGTTTGGTGTGTCACTGCCAAATTTGGAAATCCAATGTGACCATATATGTCACACACTCTATAGCTTCCTGCCAAGTTTCATTACTCAAGTGATGCTTGCAGTGCTTGGTATCTGATTTTGTTCCCTCATTTAGGAAAACGCAGATATGGCCGTGAGTTTCTCCTTCAGCTTCAATACTCCGCGCCAGCGCTCGAACGTCCAGAGAATCTTGTCTTCATTGAAGGTGTGACTGATGCAAAACCAGGTACAGTCAGGTTGATGTGCAAATCTAACCTGCTAACACTCCCCTAATAGTGAAGCTCTGGCCCTGACATTGACATGGAGGTGGATGGGGACAACAATGATGATGTGTGTGTGTGTGTGTGTGTGTGTGTGTGTGTGTGTGTGTCTGTCTGTCTGAGAGGTTGGGTGGTGGGGGCTGTTCGCCTGAAAGGGAGATGCCCAATTATCTTTTAACTTCCAGGATTCTCTCCAACCCATGTGAGTGGGCATGTGTGGGTCAGGTTAGACATTTTAAACCATTTCCTCTCCAATTTGTTGTGGGACGATGTTTAATAGTGAGACCATTGTTTCTCAGTCTGCCCATCTTATTGCTGTCTCCATTCAGAGCCTCCAGGGGATGGTTCAGAACGCTATGTCAGTGTATCCGAGCCAGAGGATGAGCTCTTCTGTAATAGGTATGTATTGTGTTGTCAAACAGCAACTGGATTAATATTTTTAAAATCTAGCTTTAAATGGCAGCTGGAAATAAGTGTTGGGATCACTTACAGTGCTGAAATATTGGAACTCTTGACATCATGGTTTCTTGGAATGCGTTTCTTTGGAAACTTGGCACATTCCAAACTATTCCAACAAATTCCAATCTGCGACAGTGTTTTAAACATTCCCATTTAATATCCCCATAAAGTTCTTTATAAGAAGGTTAACCCCAACTTCTCCAGTCTCTTCACATAACTAAATACCCTCATTGTTTGTAAACTTTAGTAAATACATATACCCTTTCTATGGCCTTGGAATGTTCCATTTTGTGAATTACCTTAAATTAAATTGTAATGTTTGCAATTTAGCAGAGAAAGTCTTCCAGCAATTGGTCAGGTAATGGCCTTGCAGATTGCTGAAATTTGGAGAAAGGCATGAGCAGGGTGAGTTGTGTTGAAAAGTGTGTCTTGACTGGACTTTTCAATTGACTTTTCAGAATTTTAGCAATGTTCTCAGCAGTGTAGATTTGTGATCTTAAATATCCAAGAGCTGAGAAGAAATTTAGAGAATTTTTTCAGTTTATCCACAAATGAACCCCATCATTGGTTGTGTTTGGATACAATTGAGCTGTTATCTCAAGTAGGATTAATGAGATGTGAGAGATGAGCACCTTCGTTTGAAAAAATCCTTCCTTATCATGGTGATGGTGACAAAACAGGACAGTAAAGAAGGTTTTACTGATACAGAGCGGTGTGGTGGGGTCACATGTAGAGCGACATGAACCCAAGATCGCAGTTGAGGCAATTTCTGCTCAGCGATTCTGCGTTGTTGTGTATCTCAAAGTCCGCTTTGAAGGACACTTACCTGAAGATTGGAGGCTGAATTTCCTTGACGACTGAAGTATTCCCTGACTGGGAGGGAACATTCCTGTCTGGCGATTGTTGCCCAGTGTCCATTCATCTGTTGTCATAGCATCTGCATGGTCTTGCCAATATACCATGCCTGCAGCGTTTGAGATAGACAACATTGGCCAAGTCGCATGAGTATCCACTGTGTATGTTGTGGGTGGTGTTCCCACATGCGATGGTAGTATCCATGTCAGTGATCTGACATGACTTGCAGAGGTTGCCATGGCGGTGTTGTGGTCAATGTTGTCCCAAAGGCTGGGTAGTTTTGCTGTGAACGATGGTCTGTTTAAGGTTTGGTGGTTGTTTGAAGGTAAGAAGTGGAGGCGTAGGTATGACCATGGTGAGATGCTCACTGTCATCGATGACATGTTGAAGGCAGCAAAGAACATGGCATAGTCTCTCCACTCTGGGGAAGTCGTATCCTTTGTCTGTCTTCTGAGGAGGTTCTGGCAGTTTTTCGTTGTGGCATGTCAGAACTAGTGATTGATGAGTTGAGCATCGTATCCTGCTCTTATGAGGGTGTCTTTCAAAATCTTTAGGTATCCTGTCGAGTTCCTCCTTATCTGAGCAGATCCTGTACATGTGCGGGGCTTGTCCGTAGGGTATGGCTTCTTTAATATGTTTAGGGTAGAAACTAGAGAAGTGCAGCATTGAGGTTATCAGTGGGCTTGCGGTAGAGTGAGGTACTGAGAGCTCTGTTCTTGATGGAGACGGCGATGTCCAAGAATGAGACTGATTCTGAAGAGTAGTCCATGGTAAGTCTGATGGTGGGATGAAACTTGTTGATATCGCTATGTAGTTGTTTCAGTGATTCCTTGCTATGAGATCAAAGAAAGAAAATGTTAATGAATCTGGTGTATAGCAAATAAGTCTTGTTCGAACTTGTGCATGAAAATGTTGTAGATCTGGCCCCCATGGCTGTTCCACGTGTCTGAAAAAAGAACTGGTTGTCGAAGGTGAAGGCATTGTGGGCGAGGATAAAGCGGATGAGTTGTAGGATGGCGCCTGGAAATTGGCAGTTGTTGGTATTGAATACTGAGGCTGTTGCAGCAATGATGTTGTCATGGGGGATGCTGGTGTCACGTGCCAAAACGTCCATTGTGACGAAGGCGGCTCCTGGTTCTACTGGTCTGAGTGCCGAGTTTCTGTAAGAAACCTGTAGTGTCGTGACAGAAGCTGGGAGTTCCTTGTGCAGTGGGTTTCGAGATGCCTTTGACACACCCAGAGAGGTTCTCACACAGGGTCCCAGTGCCTGATATGGTGGGACGTCCAGGTGTCTTGGCTTTGTGTATCTTTGGAAGGTGGTGAAAGTCTCCTATGCGAGAAGTATGTGGGATGAGAGTGCTTGGATATTCTGAAGGTCTGACTGAAAGGTCTTGATCTGTCTGTTGAGTTGATGGGTGTGTTCTTTGGTTGGATTGACTGGTAGTTGTCTGTAGTGTTCCTGGTTGTTCAGTTGTCAGTATGCTTCTTTGCAGTGCTCCGTTCTGTTCTGTGTGATAATGGCTCATCCTTTGCTGGTTTGATGACAATGTTGTGATTGGTCTTGAGAGCACCGTATTGCGTTGTGCTTGGGTGATGTTCTGCACTATTTTGTGAGCATGGCTGATGAATCTAGAGTTAACGTCTCTCCTGACATCTTGGGCGTACATTTCGAGCCTAGTGCAGCAGTCTTCCAGAGGGGTCCAATTTAACTCTCTTCTTTGGTTGCTGCACCACGGATTTTTCTGACTGTTCTGGTTCATTGGTTGTCTCATTGGGCTCACTGCTGACATCTTGGGGTTTGCGAAAGAATTTCCAGAGGCTCCTCATTCGCCTAATGAATTCCTCTGTGTATGCTGTGAGACCAATGGGGTCCATTTTAGTAGAAATTGAGCCCTTGGCTGAGAACTTCGATTTCGACCAGTTGAACAGTCAGACAAGTTGATGGATTTCTCTGTGGTGGTACTGGTTTCCACCATCGTACCAGGGGAGGCTTGGTTGCTGCTGGTGGTAATGCCAAGTTTCTCCAGTTTCTTGTTCTTGTCCTTGGTGTGAGTGTAGGTGGTATAGTTCCGTTGCCTCGTCTGCTTGGCAGTGTCTTGTAGCTGCTCTGCTTTATACTGAGCACAAGCTGGGAATATGGACTGTACTAAATTTCAAGGTTGCAGCATCTGTTGTAGAGTTCTTGTACAAGATGATTGAGGAGTGTGCGAGAGGTGCGACGGCAGAGTCTGTCAGCATAGTCTGTGTGGTTGGTCGACCTGAGTGGTTTTGTGATCTGTAGTCCTTTCAGGATCTTCTGTGCTTTCATACATCTCAACAGAAACTTGATGTCTGTGTTAATATGCGCAATCTTCTTGGAGATCTTTTCCACTTTGAGCTGGCAGTTTGTGGTGTCAATGGTAGCCATGATGTGGAGGTGCCGGTGTTGGACTCGGGTGGACAAAGTCAGAGGTTACGTGACACCAATGGAACTACATCATCTACATGCACACCAAGAACAGGAAACTGGAGAAACTTGGCATCACCATCAGCAGCAACTGAGCCTTCCCTGGTCCCACAGTTGAAACCACTACCCCCACAGGGAAATCTGTCATCAGCTTGTCTGACCACCCCCCTCAACCGGAAGAAATGGAAATTCTCAGCCGAGGGCTCAATGTCTGCCCCACTACCAAAATAGACCCCATTGGTCTCATGGCAGACACAGAGGAATTCATCAGGTAAATGAGGAATTCTTCCGTTAACCCAAGATGTCAGCAGCAAGCCCAATGAGATGACCAATAAACCAGAACAGTCGACCGAGAGATCCATGGGTCGAACTGGACCCCTCAAGAAGACCGCTGCACTAGGCTCGACACGATGGACGTTTTTACACTCGACATCTGCATGCCCCACGATGACGGCATCACCGCAACAGCCTCAGTACTCAATACCAACAACTGCCAATTTCCAGACGCTTCATCCTCTACCATAACATCTTCAATTTCAATAACCCGTTCTTCATCTAGACGCACAGAACAACCATGGGGACCAGATTAGCATCCCAATGTGCCAACAGTTTCCTGCACCAGTTCGAGCAAGACTGCTTTGCTGTGCAGGACCTCCGACCAATGCTATACACCAGATTCATTGACACTTTCTTCCTTTGGATTCATGGCGAGGAATTACTGAAGCAACTACATAGTGGTATCGCACCAAAACTACCCAGCCTTCGGAACAGTATTGACCACAACCCTGCCATGGCAACCTCTGCATGACCTGTCAGATCATTGACATGGATATTACCATCACACGTGGGAACACCACCCATCACGTACACAGCAGATACACATGACTTGGCCAACGTTGTCTATCTCCCACGCTGCAGGCAAAGATGCCCCAAGGCATAGTATATTGGCAAGACTATGCAGATGCTACGACAACGGATGAATGGACACTGAGTAACCATTGCCAGACAGGAAAGTTCCGTCCCAGTGGGGGAGCACTTCAGCGGTCAAGGACGTTCAGCCTCTGATCTTTGGGTATGTGTCCTCCAAGGTGGACTTTGAGATACGCAGCAATGCAGAATCATCAAGCAGAGACTGAGAGCCAAGCTCCATACCGGCCTCAACTGTGATCTTGGGTTCATGTCAAGTTATATGTGACCCCACCACAGTGTTCTGTATCTGTAAAACCTTCCTTACTATCACCTTGATGATAAATTGTTATGATCTCTCTACCTTAATTAGTTTGTCTAGTTTTTGATTACTTATTACTTTGTTACACCCTTGGCATGCGGCTGTTATATCTGTCATGTTATTTCTAGTCATTTAGTTTGTCTCCAGCACTGCCTTATTTTTAATTTTTTGTAATTATCTCTCTGCCTCATTTTAATCAGTTTATAGGTCATTCCTTCACTTGTTGTTCAGCTGTTGACACTTACGCACACTGTCTAACACCCCTGGTCACCTGGAGAGACTTATTATTCGACACTCCACTCACACTAGTTGTATGATCTTTTGATCTCTCCACCTGTAAATTCTGTGTCTGTGTGCTTTCCCCTCTCACTTCACCTGACAAGGGACTGCACTTTGAAAGCTTGTAGTTTCAAATAAACCTGTTGGACTATAACTTGGTGTTGTGTGACTTCTGACTGGGTGAAGAAAGATGATGTTGTAGTGATTATGCCACTGTGCTACAAATCTAGAGGTTTTGAGTTCATGCCTAGCATGTTATAGAATCCAGTTTAATAAATCAGATTTTTACAGAATTATTAAAGCGCAGAAGATGGCCACTTGGCCCATCATGCCTATACTGTTTCTGTTATGAGTGTCAATCTTCTACCTTTTCCTCATATCCTTGCACATTTCTATCCAAATAATCATCCGATGCTCTTTCGAATAGCTGCCTCTTCCATATCTTTAGGCTGTTCATTCCATACTCCCAACTAGTTTCTGTCTGACTTGTTTCTGTCACATCATCCTTGTTTGCTCATCATTTTAAATTTGTGCCTTTTTTTTCTTTTATGAGCAGGAACAGTTTCTCCTATCTACTCTGTCCATCACACTCATGATTTGTGAACCTCTGTTAAATCTCGTCTGAACTGCTTTATCTCCAAGGAGAACAGTCCCCATGTTCTTCAGGCTGTCCTCACTTCTGAAGTTTCTCAATCATGGAACCATTCTAATAAATCACTTCTGCACTCTCTCCAATGGATTCACATCTTTTCTAAGATGTAATGCATGTAACTATGTACAGTATTCCAGCTGAGGTCTAACAAGTGTCTTGTACAAGTTCAACATCAGCTGCATGCTGTTGTACTCTATGCCCCTATTAATAAGGCTGAGAACACTATAAGCTTACTAACTGCTGTCTCTGTCTGACATGCCACCTTCAATGATCTGTGCACATACACACCTAGGCCCCCCTGCTCCTGCACCTGCGTTAGAATTGTATCCTGTATTTTATATAGTCTTTCAATGTTTCTCTGATCAAAATTCATCTTCTCTGCATTGAACTTTATCTGCCCACTCCACCTACTTGGCAATGTCCTTTTGGAGTTCCACACTGTCCTCCTTACAGTATACTATTCTTCCAAGTTTAGTGTTATCTGCACACTTTGAAATTGTCCCCTACACAGCAAGCTCCAGATCATTAATATACATCAGGAAAAGCGAGGGGCCCCAAGACCGACCCTTGGGAACGCCACTACTAAACCTTCCTCTAGTCTGATTTTAAAACCCTTTGACCATTACTCTGTTTCCTAACGCTCAGCCAGTTTTGTATCCACATTGTTACTGTCCCTTTTTCACTATGACCTGTGGCTTTTCTCACAAGTCAGTTGTGTGGCACTGTATGAAATGCCTTCTGGAAATCCATGTTCATCACATCAACAGCATTACCATCATCAAGCCTTTTTGTTACTACTTTTAAAAAAACTCCAAGTTAGTTAATTGTGATTTTCCTTTTAGAAATTTGTGTTGACTTTTCATAGTCAACCCCTGGTTTTTTTCATGTGACTTCTAATTGTATTCTAAATAATTTGTAAAACTTCTGCCCCCACCAAAGTTAAACTAACTCACTGTAATTGCTGGCATTATCCTTAGAAAAATTACAGCCTTGTTCAAGAAAGATTGTAATAGTTTGGCAAAAGAATAAATAGCTATAAAAGCTGCCAGATTGTTTTAAATTGACATCTTGCTTCACTAATATCCTTCACAACTTTGTGGAGTTTCAAAATTTTCAACTCTGTCGGTTATCTGCACTTGGGTTCTTGAAATTAACAATGTGACAGATATGATGTTGTTTGGTGTCTTTCTGTCCCCTCAGGTCTCCAACCACCCTCCGACACAACCTCAACCTAACATCGGTGTACAGTCATTATCTGCCTGATACAGGTCGGCCTGAGGTTACAACCTGCTCATCTGGTTTTGGCCTCACCGTAGATTACATCTTCTACTCAGCACAACCAGTCACCGATAAGAGTGGAAAAGGTTTGTATCCAGGAATGTGGCAGAATGTGGGTGGTGGGAATGTAGATTTGCATTCAACAGTTTGAATTAAGAATGCTGTTCTGTTTTGACATAGGGATTGCATGTTTAGCACTCCTACATGCGCATATTCTACCACAGGAATGGTAACATAATTCCAACTTGCCTTTTCTGGTGTGTACAACAGACTTGGCTTCAGAAACTGCAGAGGGCCACATAGTTATATCTTATTATTGGGTTTATGACAAATAGATGACAGATACATGGAATTAAAGTAGAAAAGCATCTTCCACAATCCAAGGCAATTTGTGTATTTAATGTGTGATGATAACTATAACACTGGTTTAAATGGAAGAAGCAGTGCAATCGTTGCATATTTGTTATAAATTCCCTGGTTTTAAAAAAAAATTAGGTATGTTTTACCAGAAATAACAGTAGAGTTTTGACAAAGTGTGCCCCTGAACTGTTAACAGCACTTAGAGTCATACAGCTGTACAACACAGAAACAAACTCTGGTCCAACTCGTCCATGCTGACCAGATATCATAAATTAATCTACTCCATTTGCCAGCATTTGGCCCATATCCTTCTAAACCCTTCCTATTTCATGTACCCATCCAGATGTCTCTTAAATGTTGTAATTGTACCAGCTTCCTCTGGCAGCTCATTCCATACACGCACGTGAAAAAGTTGCCCCTTAGGTTCTTTTTAAATCTTCCTTTCTAACCTTAAACCTATGCCGTCTAGTTTTGGGTCCCCCACCCTGGGGAGAAGACCTTGGCTATTCACCCTATCAGTGCCGCTCATGATCTTCTAAACTTCTATAATGTCACCCCTGAGCCTCCGACGCACCAGGGAGAATAGCCTCTCCTTAGAGCTCAAAACTTCCAACCCTGGCAACATACTTGTAAATCTTTTCTGAACCCTTCCAAGTTTCACAACATCCTTCCTATAGCAGGGAGACCCGAATTACCTGCAGTATTCCAAAAGTTGCCTAACCAATGTGCTGTAGTCGCAAATGAGACTTCCCAACTCCTATACTCTGTGCACTGACCAATAAAGGCAAGCGTACCAAATGCTGCCTTCACCATCCTCTCTATCTGGGATTCCACTTTCAAGGAACTATGAACCTGCTGAACAAAGAGGCCTTTGGTGCAATGGTCCTCAGGACCTTCCCATTAAGTGTATAAGTCCTGCCCTGATTTGCCTTTCCAAAATGCAGCACCTCCCATTTATCTAAATTAAACTCCATCTGCCACTCCTTGGCCCATTTTGTATTAATCCCTTAGACACTGAGCTCAATGTCAAGTTCTCTCACCTGTGTCACAAAATTATAGGTTAAAATGCCACTCCAGATATCTGAGCACAAAATTCAGGTTGGCACGAGTGCATTACTGAGGGAATGCCAAGCTATTGATAGTTTATCATCTCACCCATGACATTGAGACCTCCATTTTGCCCACTCAGGTAGGAATGGAAGATTGAATTTTGAAGAGAAGGACATGAGTATTACTGAAAAAGGCACGTTTTGTTGAAGCTTATTGTCTTTTACTCATATTAGGACAATTTGCAAGAATACCAGTTCAAAGGGAATATTACATTTATATTGTATGAGAGGAGAATGCTGCTCTGTTGGCAAGTTAATGCAGCAGTTAATGATTGACAGTTAACTGCCATTTATTGTTCAAATTTTAAACCAAGCAGCTTGACTGTGGTTGGTCAGGGTATTGCCCTAAAAAATGAACCAGCAAACAGCTTCACCTATTTTGTTTGAGTTAAAATATATGCAGTGTGTGTGTGTGCATGTTCTTTGTCTGCAAAGAACAGGTTCTTTTGTGTTAATGTAGCTTACAGTACATGCATGTGTCCCACCCTCTGACCTTGACTGGCAATCCTAAATTGTTTGTCAGCATAATTCTTCACGCACTCAGGATTATCCGGCCAATGTTCTCCAATTGTGGAATCACATCTACTGTTGGACATTGAGTTTTGTAAGCAGGGGCTGGTTGGGTACGGTCAGTACCTTGCTTGTTGTGAACAGCTGAAGGGATGTGCTGAGCCATATCTCGGAGGTAGCACCACTAATTATCAAAGTCCACTCTATCCTGTTTTTCCTTTGAATTGGTGTTGTTGTGAACTGCCATGCTCAGTGCAAGGCTTTGACAAAGTGTGTCCTTTATCAGCAATACTTGAGTTCCAAACTACCAAACATCTAAGAAGAAAATTATCTCCAGTGTTTTGATAAAATTTACGTCTTAATCAATGCCTTAAAAAGAATCAATTCTTTTTGGGAGAATTTGCTATATGTAAACTGACTGCTGCATTTCAATAGATCAAAAGTTCTTTGGCTGTTCGGGGAGGTCTGAGGTTGTGAAATGTTAAACCTTTTTTGTCCATTTAAGGACCTGGTGACTTCTGACTGACACCAGCTAATTTATTTACTATGCTGAATTGATAAATACTTGTAATTTAAAATCAGTGTTTGAAGCAGCTGCTGTCCTGTTTTGCATTTGCTAAAGCAGTGACTTCAGGCCATTCTTCATGGCTATTAATCCTGCCTTAGAAATGATCAGTGTGAGCACTCGAATCTCACCCCATCCTCCCCAGCGCATTATGACACCGTCATCTCTTTTCTTCCTGATAGGGCGTAGGCGGTACAAGGACGGACCCCTCAAACTGCTGGGCCGACTTTCCTTGTTGTCTGAACATGACATCTGGCTGGCCAACGGGTTGCCCAATGGCATCTGCTCATCTGATCACCTCTCGCTGCTTGCCAAGTTTGGATTGAAACCCCTTGGTTGATTTTTAAAAAAACAACTAGTGAGTCTTGCACATGGCAAATGAGCCCTCGTGAAGCTTCATGGACAGACACCGCCTGCTGAGCAGAACGAAGTTCTGATGCAAGATGCCCAATCTCCATTTTACGGTCTAATTTAGGCTATTTTAATACTTGTTTCTTTTAATGGACTAGAATTTCAAGTGTGCTGCTTTTAAGATAATGGAAATGCCAAAGGAATATTGGTTGGTTAAGAGGCAAATCAATTCATGATCTTACCATCTAGAGCTTGCAGAATGTGATTCTTGTGTAATTTTGTTCCAGGTAAGCTGTCCCACCAGAGCCCTTTCAGAAACCAATGTTATCGTAATTTGCCACTGGAACCTTTTCTTTTAATGGCCATTTCCTTCATCTTCTCTTCCTTTACCTTGGACCTGTTGTCACCTGAAGTCTTCAAGGACAGGTCCTGGTTACCCTCCTCAACCAGTGTCAAATTTGAAATTCTTTGTGTTGGGAGACTGTACATCTGAGGAGGGCATCATTTCAGAGTGCCAATCCTGCCCTTACCTGGTATTCAATCAAACAGGAGGGCCCTGATAGTTATCAGCTACAGGAGCCAAGTGTAATTTTCTTTTTCCATGTTGTCCCTTCCCATTGTCTGATTTTGGTTAATTAAGCAGACACAGGGCTTGAAGCTGTGATTTTTCCTGATCGTTATGGCCTTGGCTGCCTTTCCTACCAGCTAGAACATCGATGGAGTGCTGCCAGAATTTTGAATGTGCTTCTAAAGTATAACTGTGTTTTTGGAACTAAATGCAAGGTGAAATTGGCCAACATGCATCTGTGAAAAATACTGTGCACTTGCTCAGAGCATCTCACTAGAAGGTTGTGATGTGATACCTGAACATTGGTTGCTCTTGTGCCTATGGCTCAAAGCAATGAATATGAATACAACATAAATTATTCAAAGCGGAATCTCTCCAGTAGATGCCGTTTGGATGCTCACCTCGTTGCTGACATCCCTGCTTCACTCACAGTCTTCTGTAAGGAGTCCTTGTCGGGCTAAGTACAGGCTGACTTATTTTGTTCACTTGTTCAAATGTGTCCCCTTTTTTGTCTTTTTCTTTAAATGAACTTTTTGCCCCTTTTCCACCTCATTATATTGATTTTGTTCATTTTCCAATGTCCTGCCCACCTGTCAGCCTGATCCTGTCATCAACTGATGCCCAGCCTGTACTTTCTAGAAGGGGTCAATGGATTTGAGTTTGTGGCCTTTATGGCTTTACTGCCATTTAAGGTGATTCTTTCACTATAGGACCAGTGGAAGAATCAACTTTTCATTTGTTACTTCCCCAACCAAAGCCATGGAAGCAGATCCTTAAACTACCATCCCCCTTCTCTCTGAGCTGCTCTCTTAAGCTGTGTTGTCATTTCCAGTGCCATATCTCTGTTAGAAATTGTCTTGCTATTGCGTTAGGGTGTAACTTTCTGGGTTCTGTGAGCTGTAAAACAATATTGCTCACTCTTAGCCTTAATCTTTCCCATTTACCACCTTGTTTTGTTTTTGTTTTTTGTTTCTTGCGATCCTAATCGTTATGGCCCCATGACGATGAAACCCCACGTTGCTTTGGAGAAGTTAAAAGCTTGGCTTTTCCAGGGCACCTGAGTTTTTGGTGATGGGGAGATGTTTATTGAGGGAGTAAGGACTTTTGATAAGGTGAATTTCTGGCCTTGAGCAGTTAAGCCTCCAGTGCAGCTTTTGAATTAGGATCCAGATTAACCTGGGTACTCCCTGCCAATCCTTATCCCCACCTCATTGCCATGACTATAGGATTACTTTAAATTGAGTCAAGGAAAAGCTATTTTGACATCAAATTTAAAAAAAAAAAAAAAATCCTTACTGCACTTCCTCCTGTTTTAAAGCTGGACTTTAAGATGCAGTACAACTGCTGAGTGGCAGGGCAAGCTTATCTGAGATACTTTGGTTTTCCTGAGGTGAGTTGGAACTCCTGCCTCCCTTGCCATAGGATGCGACTTTGTGCCGATATCAGTGGTTAATTATAGATATGAGCTGTACTGTCTTGAGGAACTGCTAAGGGTTTCCATTCCAGGAGTCAGAAGGAATGAGGACCAGTCTTTTTTTTTGCTCTGATCCCTAAAATGAGCAAAAAGAACCAAGAAAAAGATGACAGACAACTTATTTGGAAAGAGGAAACATTTTTGAATGCTTCACGCTCATCATACTACAAATGGCCTGCATCCTCCATGGAGATGAGGGAAAATATCAAGCAGAGTTCCTGATGCTGATGGGTTTGTAGTAATCCCTGCTGGGATTAAGATTTGATGTTGGCAAGGTTTTGTGCTCGTGAACATTTGGATCCTTGCTACTCCTTTCAGAAACAATCTTCCATCATTACTCTTTAAGATGGCATGAATCATAACACTGGCAACTACTTGGTTTCCTACCTCCCTCTAGCCTGAGACCAAAATGTCCCGTCCCACCACCCCAAGACATGCTGTGAGCTGTTGCTTCACAAGACTTCTGCCTCCATTCAAGGTCTGTTTCACCATGGTCATTGGTACTGAGAAACTCCATTGCACTAGAAGTGAATGCAACTTGGTGATATCAACTGTGCTACAGACAGTGAGCAGTGCATTGGGACAGAGTTGCTGTTGGTCAGGTCATCATATTTGCAGCATTTGAAGAACACCTGTCTGGACAGAAACCAGTGTGGTGGCCTGTGAGTTTTAAGAAAGAACATGAAAATTAGTCCCATTAATTTAAAAGACAGAAACCCTCCAACACACAAGGTTGTTACCAATTTGTTTTGTCATCGTTTGTATTTTTTTTTGGAAATGTTAGTGTAACTAGGCTCCATACTTCTCTCTGGCTTAGTTCGGTAGTAGGCTGTGGAACCCAGATCCACTGGCTAAAGGACCAAATTCTTCAGTCAGCCGGAATCATGGGATTTATGAACTTGTGCCCATAGTTATTTTTTATGGTTGGTGTGTAAGAATAGCTTGGAACAGTTTGGCCACACTATCTGTAGATAAAGTGTATATTCAAATAGTGTAATTTAAAGGCTTTGTTTTGCCTAATATTTTTGTGACATGGTTCAGTAAAATTTTGATTAAATAAACGGCTTGTTTATTTGACAGGTGGTGTGATTGTTAATTCCTGTTTATGTACATGATCCTGGAATTGATACATGCAGCAAAAAAACTGTAGAATCAAAATTGGGACCAAGGTACTTTGTGCCCAGAGATGATAAGAGCACACTGAAGCTTGAATAGGATACATTTAGCAAAATTAGAACTAATTCCTAAATTGCAGGCCATTTTTAGAATGCAAGGTTATAGGCCCAACATTGAGCAGAAAGTTTTAATCTCAAATGATGTTGTGCTTGACACAGTTCAAAACTCCATATATCGTCCCATCAGTGCTCATTTTTGCAGCCATACTACCCTTTTCCACCCTTACACACTCTGTCATTCTGAATTATTTTCAGATCACTTTGTGGTCTTAACCTTCTATTGATTGAGTAACCTCCTCTAGTCCTACAGCTCTCTGAGAATTCCATCTTTCTTCAGTTCAGTTTTCTTGCACATTCCTCACAACCTTTGTTCCACCTTTTGACAGCACCTTCCAAAACTGCAACATAAACCACTCGGAAAGGTAATTGCAACAGATACACAGCAATGCCACCAACTGAAAGAACGCCACCATCCTGACGTAAAACTACATCATCGTTCCTTTACTGCTTTGGCATCAAAATCCTGGAACTCTGTCCCTGAAACTACACAACGTGTACTCCAGTGGTTCAGGAAAATAGCTTACCAGCACCTTCTCAAAGGCAGTTTGGATGGTCAAGTCACCCACCTTCCCGTGAACAAATATCGATTAAAAAGGTGTGCTTCCAGCTGCCTAGGTCCCTCTTGCCTAACATTCTCCTTTTTTAGGGCCTCCTGCAACGAGTAACTTGCCTCCTGACTCCCCAAAGACTTTTCGCCATTTATAACGCACAAATCAAGAGTGTGGTGGAATTCTTCCCACCTGACTAGACGAAAGCAACTTTAAACAACTTTCAAGAAGCTGACAGCATCCAGGACAAAGCAACCCACAAAACACTTTCAAGCCAGCTTTGCTCATTCAAATCTTTGTGAACTTGGCATTGCCCAAATTCTGCCCATTTTTGAACTTGCACCTATTTGTTTTGTTCTGTTCTGTTCTCTCCTCTCCACTGACCTAAAAGCCAATCACAATTGAGCAATGTCTCAATGTTAGAAGTGTCATCATTATTTTCAAACCTACAATAATTTTGGCTGACCCAATAAGCTCAAAATTCTCTGCTCCTCTCCTGGCCCAGTGACCATAAGATGTAGAGCAGAAATAGATCATGTAGCCCATTGAATCTGTTCTGCCATTCAGTAAGATCATGGCTGATCTGATAATCTTCAATTCCACTTTCCTACTTTTTCCCATTACCCTTGATTCCCTTACTCATTAAAATTTGTCCATCTTGGCCTTGAATATACTCAACAATCGAGACTCGCTAGCTCTCTGTGGTGAAGAATTCCACAGATTCACTACCCTGAGAATTCCTTCTCATTTGCTTTAAAAGGGCAACTTTTCAATTATGAGATTTTGCTCTCTAACCCTAGACTTTCCCACAAGGGGAATGAATCCTTCCATAGCTACCCTGTCAAGCCCTTTAAAAACCTTGTGTATTTCAGTAAGGTCTGTCTTCATAAGCTAATCCTTCCTTACCTAGGATAACCCTAATTAAAAACCAAAAGAACTGCAGATGCTGTAAATCGGGAACAAAAACAAAATTGCAGGAAAAACTCAGCAGGTCTGGCAGCATCAGAGGAAGGGTCACTGGACCCGAAAAGTTAACTCTGTGAGGGAAAAAAACACATGCTGCCAGACCTGCTGAGCTTTTCCAGCAACTTCATTTTTGTTATAAGCCTAATTAACCTTATCCAGACTGTCCCAATGCCAGTATATCTCCCCCTTAGATAAGGGGCTCAAAACTTCAGCATATCTAGCTGTTGCCTGATTGGTGCCTTGTATAGTTTTAGCAAGTCTTCTCCTATTTTACACTCCATTTTCTTTGAAATAAAGACTAGCATTCCACTTGACTTCCCTATTATCTGCTGAACTTGTATGCTAGCTTTTTGAGATTTATATATGAGGGCTTCCAAATCCCTCTGTGCTGTAGCAGTTTGCAGTCTTTCTTCATTTAATGACATTGAGCTTCTCTATTCCTTCTCCCAAAGTGTATAATTTCACACTTTTCCACATTATGTTCCACCTGCTAAGGTTTTGAACATCCAAATAACCTGTCTCTCGAATCCTCTGTAGAATCTGTGTCATCCTCACCAATTGCCTTCCCACTTATTTGTTTTGTGTATTCCACAACTTGGCTATAGTACATTTCTTTTTCCTCATCCAAGTCATATATACTATAAATAATTGTGGCCCCAGCACTAATCCTGTGGCACTCCACTAGATATACAGGTTGCTATTCTGAAATGACCCCTTATCTCAGCTCTGTCTTCTACTACTTTGTCAAATCTCTATTCACATGGCTCATCTTAATAAGTAGCCTCCTGCACGGTACCTTATTAAATGTCTTCTGAAAATCCAAATATATTACATCCACAGCTTCCTACTTGTCTATCCTGCTTGGTACTTCCACAAAGAATTACAATACATTTGTCAAGTATGATTTTTCCCTCATGAAGCCATGCTTGAGCCTGCTTGATCATGTTATGTATTCCTCTATAGTCTGTTATTGCACCCTTCTGATAAACTCTTAACAGTTTTTCCAATAATGGATGTTAGCTTCACTAATCTGTTCTTTGTCTCCTCCCCTTTTTAAATAAAGGTGTTATGTTGGTAGTTTTCCAATCTAAGGATTCTTGGAACATTATGATCTATGCATTCACTATCTTTTTAGCTACTTGTTTCAATATCCTAGGATCCATTCCATCAGCTCCAGGAGATGTGTAGTTCTTTAGCCCCATTAGTTTCCATTGGAAAACAACAGACTTGCTGAACTCAAAACAAATAACCCAAAAAACTGCACCTCTCCCAGTGTCGCAAAGAGTAGCGATGGAAGACATCAAGGATGTGTCTGTTGCTTTAGAGGTGAATTGACAGCCCAAAGATCGTATATTGTGGAAAGAAAATGGTCATTATCCCAAATGAATTCAGAGGAGAAATGCTAAAGTACATCCATGCAAGCCATCTAGGAATTGAGTCAAGTCTGAGGAAAACAAGAGATGTGCTCTACTGGCCAAACATGAGTAACAAAATCAAAGATCACAGCAGCCCAGTGAGGTGTTTACAATGAATTCCTTTAATTAATTATTTTTCCTGCTTGTATCCTCCCCACAGTTCACCCCACCACACAGCTTTGTGTCATCTGCAAACTTAGCGATATTAATATAGTTCCCTCATCTAAATCTATATTGTGAATAGCTGGGATCCTAGCAATGATCCCTGTGGTATACCATTTGTCACTGCCTGTCATTCAGAAAAAGTCCTGTTTGTTCATACTGCTTGTTTCCTGTTTCCCAACCAGTTCTCTATCCATCTCAGTAATATCCCTAATCCCATGTTTCAGTTTTACATACTAATCTCAAGTAGGACGTTATCAAAAAATTCTGAATATCCAAGTAAACCACATTCATTGGCTCCCCTTATCAACTCTACTAGTAACATCCTCAAAATTCAAGTAGATTTGCCAAGCATGATTTCCTCTTTATAAATTATTGTTTCTGAGTAGGTAATCATATCCTCAGTGTGTTCAATGAGCAAAACAGCTTCTAGCCTGCAAAGAAACAGGACCTAAATCTCTCTAATTCCTCTGTGGAGAAATCACAGAAAATCTCCTAAAAGCTGTACCAACTCATGTTTTTTGCTCTCTGCAAATTCCGCTATTGAAAGGAGAAGGGAAAAAGCCACCTACAGAGGAACTGAAAGGATGAGTCTTCAACCAGTGTGAATGAAAGACCGAGAATTGGTATATACACAACGTTGTGTTATTAGCAAAGAATCAGGAGTTCAGAGAAATCCAAAATAAATACTACTGTTCAATGTCTGTGATCCAGACTGGTGCCAGAATTGTGCATGTCTGACTTTACATCCCTCCTATAATACTTGTCTCTCTGTCTGTTTGAATGTGTATCAAAATTTTAATGTGTTAAGAGTTTAAGTTATAAAATTATGTATTAGCAATTCATATATTTTTTGAAAGCAGTTTGATTATAATAGGTATTTTAGTGTTATTAGGAAAAGCCTGGTATAGATATTCCTTTAACCTGAATTAGAGAGGTAAAGTTGGACAAGTCACTGAATATCGCGTTTGTGACAACTTCAGGAAGGGCTTGATTTCCAGTGCACTACCACAATGAGAATGATAAAACACTATCAACAAAGCTTCATTGAGTGGCTGCAGCACAACCAGTTGTTAGTACACACTGCAAAATCTTTGGGAATTATCAACTTCAAAGAGCTGAGAATGTGCGAGTCTATGGGTGTAAGGCTGGAAAAGCACAGCAGGTCAGACAGCATCGGAGGAGCAGGAAAGTCAACGTTTCAGGCCGAAACCCGTTGTTGCGTATGTCAAGATTGACAATGATATATTTTTGGACTCTTGGGGCTAGGACAAGGAATTCAAGTAGAGATACAATTATCAGCCACAATTTTATTGAATGACAGAGCAAGCTCTCGGGGTCATATAGCCTTCTGATCCACTTCTTACATTGTTAACTCTGTGCTGATGGTGGAGAAAGTATATTTTCAACCTATTGTGATTGAGATATTTGTCATTTCCATGGAAGGGGATACTGGGTAGGCAGAATATGCACCCTTAGCTGTTCTTAGTTTGGGAGTTTTATGACTCTCACAAATCTTCCTGTACAAGCTAGGCTAGAGACTGAGAGAGATAGTAGGAACTGCAGATGCTGGAGAATCCGAGACAACAAGGTGCAGGGCTGGATGAACACAGCAGGCCAAGCAGCATCATAGGAGCAGAGAGGCTGACGTTTCGGGCCTAGACCCTTCATCAGAAAAGGGGGAGGGGAAGGGGGTTTTGAAATAAATAGGGAGAGAGTGGGAGGCGGATAGAAGAGGGATAGAGGAGAGG